TACACATTTCTTTCCGGGTCCCGCCCAGGGACCGAAGGTTAGAAATGGCGTCATGACACTTTCCACTGACAAAAAAAAAAAAAAAAAAAAAAATTACATAGACAAAGCCCTTCGTAAGGTGTGGGCTGTACTTGTCAGAACAATTTTTTGTATCTCCTTGAGGGATGGACTACCAGGAATCCCTTCAATTAGTCTACTGCAATCTTTTCCAACCAGTCCTAGGACTCCAACTACAACAGGGATTGTTGATGCTCCCATATGCCACATTTTCGAGATTTCTATTATTATTATTATTATTATTATTATTATTATTATTATTTCCTTTGATTTTTGGTGTATCCTCATTTCAACCAGAGACCTGGGTTCAGAAATGGCATCATGATATTTTCCCCTTTGCATTATTTGGGAAAAAAGACGCCTAAAATCAGAGATGTTTTAAATATAAAGTCCTTCTTAAGATGTAGTCTTTACTTTTGAGTACAATTTCTTGGTATTTTTTTAAGGCGTGGGCTACCAAGAATCTTTTCAATGAGTCTGTTGGAATCTTTTCCAAACAAACCGAAGGCTCCAACTGTAACTAGAATTGTTGATGTCCTCATGTGCCACTTTTCTGAGATTTCAATTTTCAAGGTACTTTTATTTTCATAGTTTTTGGAAGATCTTCAAAGATACATTGCAATCTGCAGTGACTACAATCTTAATAAGAAGGGACATTTTTTTAATTCTCTCTGAACACAATGTCTGGGCGATTAGATTGATTGTTCTGTCTCTATGTATTGTAAATCCCCATGAAATTGCTACAGGACCTATCTCCGTAACCGGGTCTGGGTGGTGTTCATACCAATTTCTTGCACTTTTCCATTCCTTAAAAAGTTGCAGGCTTTACAGTGCAAATATATACTCACTCTGTCATACCGGATTTTATATTCGGGGTGGGGATACCGTGCAAGATGGTCAATTGTTTCTGGATATTTATCACAGAATCTGATTTTGGGGTTACCACAATTTTTCAGAATTTTTTTTATGTGATTTTAGTAATTTCTATTTAGTAAGCATTGGTTCTGTACAGCAAGAATAAAACCTTCGATTTCAGTTTTTAACCCAGCACTAGGTAGCTACTGATGGATACGGGTTTTATCTACATCAGCTTTGTTTATTAAGGGCAGTATATTGACCATGAAGAGGTTTGCCTGCCATCGTTTCTGTAGATTACATTTCCAGCTTCTACTTTCAATTCTTCGCCCGTTTGAAACTCCATTTTGAACTTGTTAACTCTTTATTTCTGAATAAACTTTCTTACTTCTTTCATGTTCTAGTCTTCTGTAGTTTCCAGCTATTTTTGAAGGTCGATGTTTGTAGTTTTGTAAGACAGTTCTAGTTGAACTAATCCTCTGCCTCTTTCGGATTTGGACATATACAGACAATCAAAATCAACATTGGGATATTGTATACGGTGGCAAGTAAGAAGCTTTTTCGTTTTGACATCCATTCACTTAATGTCAGATATGGTCCAATTGAGGATGTTGAAACTGTATTGCACCGGACAGTCAATGTGTTTATGGCTGATATTCTGTGTTTTTTTTTTTTTAAATTCAGCTCACAATTCAATACCAGACGCATACCCCTGTGATATTCTTTTCTTACTTTCTCCTTCACTTGGGTATGCCGGACTCTATCCTCTTCCTCTAATTCTAGAGTAAAAAATAGTCTTCTTCTTGTTCCATTTCCCTAATCTTTGTGGCAAAGTCTAGATCTATTTAGTGTGTTTCTCTAATTCTCCCTTTTTTGAATGTTACTTGTGCACAGTTATCTAATCCGAAATACATACTGAAACATTTTACAGTATTGAGGAGACCCTTCCACTCATTGTCGTCTTTGTCAAAGTATTTGATGTCATCCATGTAGAATAGGTGATTAAATGCCTTTTTTTTACATTGTATTTATAGCTATTAATGGTAAGTTCATGCGAAAGGAAATTTAAGGACAGATAAAATAGAAGAAATATTGAAAGATTCCTCGTCGGATATTCAAACAGCTGAAAATGGCTGTAGCTTTGGTACGATTTATTATTATTATTATTATTATATTATATTTTTATTTTCTTTGATTTCTGGCGTTTACACATTTCTTTCCGGGTCCCGCCCAGGGACCTAAGGTTAGAAATGGCGTCATGACACTTTCCACTGACAAAAAAAAAAAAAAAAAAAAAAAAGAAAGAAAAAGATTACATAGATAAAGCCCTTCGTAAGGTGTGGGCTGTACTTGTTAGAACAATTTTCTGTATCTCCTTGAGGCATGGACTTCCAGGTATCCCTTCAATTAGTCTACTGGAATCTTTTCCAACCAGTCCTAGGGCTCCAACTACAACAGGGATTGTTGATGTTCCCATATGCCACATTTTCGCGATTTCTATTTCAAGGTCCTTGTACTTTGACAACTTTTTGAATATCTTCAAAGATACATTGCAGTCGGCAGGGACTGCCATATCAATAAGGAGGCACCGTTTTTGTTTATGGTCTTTAATAACAATATCTGGGCGGTTGGCCTTGATTGTTCTGTCAGTGTGTATTGTGTAGTCCCATAGAATTGTAACAGGTCCTATCTCCGTAACCGGGTCTGGGTGGTGTTCATACCAGTTTCTTTCAGTTTCCTTCCCGTAGAAGTTGCAAATTTTCCAGTGCAGATATTGGCCCACTCTGTCATGTCGGGTTTTATATTCAGTGGGTGCCAACACCGTACAACCTGCTACAAGATGATCAATCGTTTCTGGATATTTATCACTGCTACAAGATGATCAATCGTTTCTGGATATTTATCACTTATTATTATTATTATTATTATTATTATTATTATTATTATTTCCTTTGATTCCTGTTGTATACTGACTTCCTTCTGGGTCCCAACCAGAGACCTAAGATCAGAAATATCATGATATTTTCAGTGAACATTTTAGGAAAACAATAAAACAACCTTAGAAGACACACCTTTACATTGATTTTTGTATTTCTTTAAGGTATATACTATCACGTATCCTTACAATGAGTCTATTAAGACCCTTTCCGATCAATGCAAGAGTTCCAACAACAACTAGAATTACTGATGTCATCATGTGTCACATTTTTGAGATTTCAACTAAAAGATTCATGTATTTTGATACTTTTTCTTCAAAGATGTATTATCATCTACAGGGGCTGCCATATCTATAAGAAAACACATTTTGCTTTTGTCTTTCATCACGATGTATGGACGATCAGCTTTGATTGTTCTGCCTGTGTGTATTGTAAAGTATTATTAGTATTATTTGTCATTTTACACAATGTTTTGGGTGTTATTAGCTGGCTTTGCACTTACTGGATATCAAACTATACCCTGCAGTATTTTTCTAGTGATTCGATTTATGCTAAGAAAGTTGCCTTCTGCAACGTCTAAAATCTCAACCAATGGGCAGGATATGCTGACACTATTCCTAATGCTCCGATTACAATAGATACAATCTCTATTTTTCGGCAATTCGGCTGTAAGCCTATATAGTTCTCTATTTTCTGCATTTCTTTCTCGACGACTCTGGTATCAAACTGGTAGGCAATGACAATAACATAACGGGCTCGCTCTTCTTAGCTGAGAACAGCTAATAATAGGATCATGTTATTTATATTATTCTGCTGAATTTTCCCATAATGTAACTTTTTGAATCTCTTATAAACAGAGATTCCCATGTTTTTGTCGATTCTTTTTTTATCGTACGCAAGGTTCCAATTCTTATTAGTATACAGTAACACATTTTTTACGACTTCATAATTCTTATATTTACTTCTTTGTGATGGTTTGAACATACGGAGGTTGATCAAAAAGTATCGGGACTAGTGCTATAAAAGAAAAACTACAACATATATCAATTCGGCATTTAATCTCCTTCGAAGTAGCAGCCCCTTGTGAAGATACACATTTTATCCAGCGTCGTTTCCATTGATGGAAGCATTCCTGGAACTCCCTATTTTTTATTTTTAGATAGGAAGCAGCTACCTCGTCGCATTCTCTTGGATTTTCTTGACGTCTTCCTTTCAAGAGTAAAATGTTGCAAGGGTCGAAATCTAAGAAAAATGGTAGTTGTTGCACTATGGAGAATGTATTCCAAAAGCTGCTTCACAAGGTCACTGATGAATGTGGTGCAATGAGACGACCACATTCTACACACTTTCCTTCAAAGCACTGCTATAAAAAAATGTGAGTGCGAACGTTATAACGTAGTTTGTATACGTGACGAAGTTCGAGTTCAATTTGTACCAAGCTCCTTCCTCTGTGCATTTTAGCACCGTTACCATAGCAACAGTATTTTTGATCAGACCTTGTATTTATATTTAGTTGATAGTTCTGCTATATTTATGAGAAATAATTTTTTGTTTTTATTAATAAATTAAATTATCTGATTTTCTCCGTCTTCTTGTTAAACTTAGGGTCATATGTCGTTGAAACAGCGTTTCTTGTACGATCACCGATGTTAAAAAACATTAAGTCTGGTCAGTTCCTAGATGAGTGACGGCTTCGGAATATCAGGTGCTGTGAGATTCGATGTGCGGGGAGGTGTAATGGATAATGGTCGGAATTGTAATTCCAATTCCAGTCGAGTTCGTTATGCGCAAATACCCTTAGAAAAGGTATGAATCCGCTTCTTCTCCCCTCAGCTATGGTTTAATTAGTATGCCTTGCATCATTAAATCAGTTTAATCTCTAAAGATTCCTCATAATCTAAAAATATTTTCTGGCTTAAATAACTTGTAAAAGGTAGATAAGCCGTAAAACCAGATCAATCTTTTTCTTCTTCGGCATGGATTTCTTTCTCAATTGGGGATCTTGCATTATGGATGCGCTTCATCAAGTCGTAAGACCTTAGATTGGTTTTTTCACCTAAAGTGAATATAACGAATCCAACTGGAATCAGAACTCGGCTTTACGATTTTTATTTCCGAGTCGTTATCCATTACACCACCCACACATCCAGGTTTGCAGCACCTTTTATTCCCAGGCGCTCACCTATATAGCTACAGTTCTGACCAGGCCGGACGTTGCTTAACTTCGGTGATCGCACGAGAATCGGTGTTTCAACGTGTTATGGGACCTTACCCATAATAACATAATGGACTATTCCATACGTAATAAGTACTGCGCCTCAAGAGTAAGCAAGGAGTTCAGTCCGAAGTCGGACGACCGGCTGATCGGCTGATCGGTTGAACTCTCTGCCTTCGGGCGGGGAGGAACCCGAACGAGGCTACGCCGAAGAGCGGAGTCTCTTTCGGGGAGGTAAACCAATCCTGAACCCGTTTATACGGGTTCAAAGGGCATTTTTTGGCCGAGCCCACGGTCTCGGAGATCCCACGGTCTCGGAGATCCCACGTTAAACCGGCCTTGTGCCACATGATGCCCTCGTGGGGGGGTGATTAAATACTGTTCAGTCTGAAGTCTGGAGTGAGGTCCGTCATAAATCTGTCCGTCCGTCAGTCAGTCAGTGCGAGCGAGTCAGTCAGTCGAGTCAGAGGCAGTCCGAAACAGAGTCGTGTTCAGACAATTACTACAAGACATTGGAATAGTGATACTGATCGAGACTACATTGTTCTCCCTACTAAACCTGATTGTTCGTACTAACACTTTCTCCTTCTCTGTATATATTCCTGTTTGTAATCTATCTGTGTTATTCAATATCCGTGTTCGAGTTCTTCTTTATTGGTTCTACCTTGGACCATCACCGTGGTACAAGGACTTGGACCATAACAAGTAGCGACGAAGATTCGAACTCACACGTGAAGAACAAACAACAAAATCCTCTCTCGTCAACATAACATAACGTGATATGCCTTCTTAGATAGACAGCACCTTTCACAGAATGTCTACAGTATCAAGCATGGCAGACTTCTGAAGACATTAGATACTGCGTCTTTATCGCGATTATCTCAGTAACTGTCTTTAAATACGGTAACATAGATCGCAATGATAACAGTGTCCTGAATAACTAACATCTATTTTGTCTGTTTCAAATCATTTCACCCCAAGCAAGGCTGCCATGTCACCAAAACAAGGCTTACAGTGAAAGTGAAAGATAATGAGAAATACGGAGAATTGATGGAGGGACAACAGATGAACGGGATTCAAGAAGATAGAAGATGGCGACTGACATTTCATTTCAATTTTTGAAGATAGTAGTTATTAGGGAAGTAACAAATTGGAAGGGAGTTCCACAGGCGGGAAGTGGAGAAAAGAAACAGGTGGAGTAGAAGTAGTGATTGCATTTAACTATTTCAAGAGTAAAAGGGACCTAGCTGCCAATCTAGTAGAACGTTTAAATTCCTGTAATCGGGGTACCAGTTAAAAAAAAAACTCATTAGAGCAGTTGCCAAGAAAAAATGTAAAAAGACAGAAGGAAGCGACATCACGTTTCTGAGAAAGTGACTGAATCTCAGATTCAATTATATTGCAGATCCATCTTCGGATTTTGTCAAACCTCGGAATAAACAGCAGGGGCAACAGACCATATATGCCAACGGTATTTAATACGCGGACGAATGGTAGATTTGTAGATGTGTAAGATGGACTCTGACGAGAAAAACCTTCTGGTACGACACATTGAACCAACTTTCCTTGCAGTAGATGCAGCTATTGATTCAATGCAGTTGTTCCACTTCAAGTCAGTTGAAAACGTGAGACCAAGATGTTTTCCCGGAGTTGAGTATCAACAATGTTGATGGTGGGAAGGGGCCAACAGTATTCAATGCATGGACAAATGGTAAATTTATAAATGTGCAAGATGGATTCTGACGAGATAAAAATTTGTGCCGACTCAGTGAACCAACCTTCCTTGCAGTAGACGTAGCAATTGTGATTCAATATAGTCGCACCACTTCATGTCAGTGGAAAACGTGAGGCCAAGAAGGTGTAGAGTGTTACTCTCCTTGAGTTCAGCATCAGCCATGTTGATGACAAGCATAAAAAGCTCTCTGTGGTGGCTAAATACAAGCAGTTAATTCTGGCAAACTGAATTCGGGTGTATTTCCTAAGGTTTTCAGTTACTATGTTCTTGATATTATGTTCACCAGATACATTCACCTCGACGAGGATTTCTTTGTCAGCAACGGTCTGCTTTAGTGGCTTCAAGGACGTGTTAAGTTTCGATATTAAAATCCAAAATTACACAAAAATATCTTAAAATACTAAAGAGTAAATTTACTCATTAAAATTACTATTTGATTCAACAACCGTCTCTAGACGACTTCGGAATCTCCTGTTACAATGACTTTTATTGGTCTCGCTCAACTGCACTCCACATATAATACTCAAGGAGTTTGCAGTCTGGGGAGTTAGGTGGCCAGATCTAAGGGGCGATGTTGTAGCGGAAATCGTCTAACAGCCATGATTGGGTTCTGCTTGCATGGTATGATGCAGAGTCCTGTTGTTCGACATAGGGTCTTCAAGCAACCACCTTCTTGACCCAGGGAAGTATTACCTGCTCAAGACATTGATGTAGGCCTCCGCGTTGTGTCTGAGGCCCTCATCCAAAAATTCGGGAGTAATTTTCTTATCAGAACGATCAGAGTGAGTTTTATGTGATGGTGTACCTTTCTGAATCCTCTGCACTGTCCTCAGATTGACACCCAAACACTCTGAAATGTTCGTATTGGAGCTTCCGGTGTGAATACCAAGCAGTAAAGCATGCCGTTTCCAAATTTCTGGTGGAATTAATTGTGCCATGGTGCTCTTTTTCTCACAGACGGTGCCCTAACTGACCCTACTATAATGTGCAGTCAACAAAATCAAAAACAAGCAATGCGCATGCACGAAATTAAAAATATAAAATGGCGACAATTTACCGATCACATACTGTAGATAAAAGGCAACTTCATCACGGTGTCCCTTATATATTATTATGCAGCAGGATAACCACATATAGGAGGCTGGCCTTACATTCCAAGCCTGCCATTACCGACTGTGAGTCTTCATTATTATTATTAGATGTTTCAGTGGATGAAGGTTATATTTCAATCACAATCAGCATCTTAGGCACAAACCTTCCTACATGAGCTACTCGAAGCAGTACTGCCACTGCACACTCCCAATGATCTGTGATATCTCTAAGGCGTCTATTTTATACTATTGTTTACCTAATATATGGCCCAAGAGTCACACAAGCTAGAGTGTTACCTAATTGGGGTGTTGATGTAAGGGCATAAATATTGCAAGTGCATATTATAAGGATAGGCATGATAGACAACAGTTGATCCTAAACTTTGAAGATGCTAAGATTGTAGTGATTTAAGAAACATACTTTTCTAAATCTGTAAGATTAAGCTGGTTCAGGAATGGGTGAATATTGACAGTTTTGATTTGTGCCCCGCTGCATTTACTAGGTTTAAGGATGGGTGAATTTATGTCGTTTATATTTCAGTCCAACGAAATGGGTGAATAGGTGAATATTAACTGTATTTATTTGTATCTCTAAGCATTACCTAAATTCGGTGATGGGTGAATATTAGCAGTTTTTATTTATGTCTATCTGCAGTTACTAAATCAGTGGATGGGTGAATATTGGCCGTTTATATTGCAGTCTGTAAGCATTTATAAGGTTTGGGCATGGATTAATATTGGCCGTGTAGTCGGTGGTTACATTTTGGGTGTCTTAAGCTTTTACAGGCGAGGCAGTTTTAATATATCAGGCTCCACCGACAGGGCAGTGAAAAGAAGAAACGATATGATAAAATGCAATAGATTTTTCAATCAATTTGGAGAATAAAATGCTTAAACACGGCGTTTAAAAGATAAAGTCGAAGAAATTTATCAGAATTAATCTAAATTCAATGAGAAACAAATTTTGATTGGTCATAATAAATGCCTGCCATTTATTATGACCAATAAAAATGTTGATCTCTGTCGACACACTCGATTGTATACTTTTCTAGTATACTTTTTAACTGTGTGTTCTTTCTTTTTATTGACTCCACCTACACATATCGCAGTGAATTCTTTTCCAACCTGACTGATAGAACTTTTTCTGAGAACTGTGTAAGTAGCCTCCTTAAATCTACAAACTGAATTCTAATTACAAGCTATATCGGCCTTGACAGCGTATTTTTCTATCCCAAATTTCCTTGATTTACTTCTATGCATTACAGAGCGAAATTCAATAAAGCTATTTGAATATCAACCGGATGGAGGTCCGTTATTCTCACTTATTTAGCCCTATAAATTTGAACTATTTCTTTGAGAGGTGACTGACGGTCAAGTTTAACTTCTCTCTCGCGCATGCGTTGTGAGCTCACCCGTAAATTGAATGCAAGAACTAGATGGACAATAAGTGAGCAGGAAGATCATGAAGGATTGTGTTCGATTTTTATTTAAGCTAACCAATTTTGCTGTTATGCACATCTGAATTGATCTGCCTGTTTTCAAATAGTTTTGTCAAAACCGAGTAGGTTTGCGAATTTCGCAACCCTCAGATTGGAAGACGAAATTTGTATTGCGACTAAGTGTAGCGTGTAGAGAATCGTTAGAAATAAATTGATTGAAAAATCACAAGAATCGGAAGATAAGGAAGAAAAGTTAGAATTATTTGAAGTTGTTTTTTTTTTTAAAAATTTTATTTATAATGGGTTTTGTTCGTTTTTATGTTTTTATTCACACTTTGAAATCTCTCTATTCTTTTTGGTTATATGTTTTTCTTTCTTTCTTTCTTTCTTTCTTCCTTTTTTAGGTTTTGCCTTACTTTTCTCTATTTTCCTTTGTCTTTCATTCTTTCTTTCTTTCTTTCTTTCTTTTCACATATTTCTCTCTTTTGTGTTTTTTTCTGCTTTTTTCCGTCTTTCGTTTCTTCTTTCTTTATTCTCAATTATTTATTTCTTCGTTTTATTTGTTTTCTATTCCTTTTTCTGCCTTCCCCTTTCTTTCTTTTATTTTTTCTTTCTTTCCACTTATTTTTTCTTCCTTTTTTAGGTTATTTAATTTTTTTCTGCTTTTCTCTTTCTGCCAATTTTTATTTCATTCAATCTTTTTTTATTTCCATTTATTATTTCTTTCTTACGTTTGTAGGTTACGCTTTTCTCTGTCTTTCATTCAATTTTTCTTTGTTTATTTTTTCTTTCTTTGGAAGGTTTTGTCTTTTTTCTTTTATTCCCTTTCTTTTATTCTTTTTTTTTATTCATTTTTAATTCCTTTCTTTCTTCCTATTTTAGGTTTTGACATTCTTTCTCTGCTTTTCTCTTTTTTTCCTTCTTTCTTTCCTTTCTCTTCTTTCTTCCTATTTTAAGTTTTTCTTTTTCTGCTTTTCTTACTTTCATTCTTTATCCATTTTTACCTTTATTCTTTATTTCTTTCTACTTATTATTTTTGCTTCTTTTTATATTGGTTGTTTTTCTTTTTCTGCTTTTCTCTTTCTTTCTTTCTTTTTTCTTTCTTTCTTTCTTTCTTTCTTTCTTCCCACTTATGTTCTTTCTTTCTTTCTTTCTTTCTTTCTTTCTTTCTTTCTTTCTTTCTTTCTTCCCGCTTATGTTCTTTCTTTCTTTCTTTCTTTCTTTCTTTCTTTCTTTTATGTTCTTTCTTTCTTTCTTTTTTTTCTTTTTTCTTTCTTTATATTTTTTCTTTTTTTAATACTTTTCTTTCTTTTTGTTAAGTTTTTCTTTATATTTTTTTTTTCTTTTCATTCTTTTTCATTACTTTTCTCTTTCATTATTTCTTTCTTTTACTGCTTTTATCTTTTTCTTTCTTTTCTTTCTTTCTTTTTCTTTCTTTTGTTTTTTTCTTTCTTTCTTTCTTTCTTTCTTTTAATACGTCTTTCTTCCTTTTGTAGGTTTTGTCTTTATATTTCTGCTTTTCTTTTTCTTTCATTATTTCTTTCATTCTTTTTACTGCTTTTTTCTTTCTTTCTTTCTTTCTTTCTTTCTTTCTTTCTTACCACTTATGTTCTTTCTTTCTTTCTTTCTATCTTCCCACTTATGTTCTTTCTTTCTTTCTTTCTTTCTATCTTCCCACTTATGTTCTTTCTTTCTTTCTTTCTTTCTTTTAATACGTCTTTCTTCCTTTTGTAGGTTTTGTCTTTATTTTTCTGCTTTTCTCTTTCTTTCATTCATTACTTTTTCTTTCATTCTTTCTTTCATTCTTTTTACATATTTTTCATCTACTTTTTCAACTTTTCTCTTTCTTTTTTCATTCTTTCTTTCTTTGTTTCCTTTTCTTTCTATCTTCCCACTTGTGTTCTCTCTTTCTTTCCATTGCATTTAAATGTATTTCTTATATCGTGGTTTGTTTTCTTTTGCCTCTCTTTCATCTTTAATATTATTTTCAGTTCTCTATTAAGCAACGTTCGTTCATTCAATAGATTTCCAAAATGGCCTGAATCCGGCAAACACAACAACAAACTAAATATATTTAGAAAGATAACCCGAACTTGAAGTGGTTGATATTTTAATTTATTTCATCATTTGACAACTTTATTTTTATCTTTACCCCAAACCTTATCAATTATCATTTATTCCTCCTTACACAAAAGAAAACATTATTAACTTCATCGTATATATTCGTGTGGATTCTTTCTCTAAAAAAAAATCCTAACGCACCTTTTAAGCTTACGAAAGAATTCCTTCTCTTTAGACTTTGCTTATATATTCGAATGGATTCTCTATCTAAGAACGTTTAGAAAACACATGTACCCTTTACGCCTAATTATACAATGGCCGGTAATAACTTATTTTTGAACACCCCCGTTTGCCAGAGTGGTAAGCAAATTCCTATTACCGATGCCTGTTCAATTCAGTTCATAATGCTGCTATGCTGAGAAGACACAGTTTCTGGGAGAGAAAGAGAACGCAATTTCTGGCGTGGTAATCAGCTTTTTAAACAAAGTCAGTATGCCCAAATACTCGGTCATGACGACTTTCGACTTCATGATAAAACAATCATCGACAGTTCGGAACAGATCCGCGTCTACCCAATTTTACAGGTACTGCATAGGTCGACCCGTTGTATAGTTTTTAAGCTCTTTCCAAAGGTGACACGTGCTGAGTTATCTCCCTTACAAATTCAAAATTCGAACACAGATCTGATGGTCAGAAAGGACACGTTCTATCCACCCATATAGAATATATACTTATATATTCTTAGGAATTATTTCTCTAAAATACGTGTACCCTTAAGACTTATCTGTACAAAATGATGTCTCCAAAATTATTCAAAGCTCTTATCTATTCTTTGTATAAAATATTCGGAGTTTAAGTTTCAAAACTATCAAAAACTACGCTTGACACCTACACACGGACATTCTTCTTCTATGTGCCGTGTGAATTCAGGACGTAGGAAATCATGGCTCTCCACAATTTCCTGTCCTTTGTAGATTATAATAAATTTTGTCTTTTTGTTATTTCTCCTAATCCTTGTGCTGACATCCATTTACTCAAGCTCGCTACGTCATGAATTGTTTTCTGTTGTCCTTCTTGTCTTCAATATGTCCTGTGAGTATCAGATTTTCCAAGCTTTCTTTCCTCATTATCTACCCTAGAAACCTCAACTGCCTCTTCCTTAGGTGAAGTATAAGTTTCCCTTTTGTTTTTATTTTCTCTAAAACTTCGTCGTTGCTCACATATTCGGTTTATAATATAGTCACCATAATTTCTTTGGAACCACATTTCTGTTGCTTCATGTCTCTTCTTCAACTTTGAGGAAATAGTCACTCACTACTATACAGAAGGAAAGATATCGCCTAATAGATTAATAATGGTTTCATTGTTTCTTCTTGCCTTCAACTTGACCATGATATCTTCTTTGTTATATAATAATATAATATTCTATATTAACTCATTGATAATATGATACACACACTCAACTCTTTGTTGGAAAAAGAAAATCTAGAAATCCATTGTTTTCAATTATTACAATCAAATAAAAAAAAGCCACGGGGTAAACAAGAAAGAAAATAATACAGACCAGTCGTTCTCAACTTTTTTTACCCAATGCGCCCTTTTCATCATATGTCACGATGGCATTACCCAACTTTCGTAGATTTTCCGATTCAAAAGTTATATCACAAATAATATTCATATATTATTGAAAATCTTAATTCCTTTCCAATTACATCACTCTTCCTCCTACTCTCTCGCTCTCTACATTCTCTCTTCTGCTTCTCTCCCTTCCTCCTCCCCTCTTCTCTCTTCCTCTTTCCTCCTCTCTCTTCTTCCTCTCTCTCCCTTCCTCTTCTCTCTCTTCTTTCATTCTACTCTCTCTCAGTTCCTCCTCTTTTTCATCCTCCTCTCTCACTATATATATATATATATATTGAATAAAAGACCATGTAATAAGCTATTTCACCATAACCTCTTTAACAGGGTTCTGGATCATCAGACTTTACTTCCAAAAGCTGAAATGAAAAATGAAAAGAAATTCACACGTTTTTTACGGACCTCATCATGTATACGTAAAGTTAACGAAGTGAGGAAGTGAGATGAGAGAGAGGATATGAGTGTGTCATATGTATCATTTTAGTTTCCTATTTCAACCCCAGTGTGTCGGCTAGATGTTACTCAAATTTAACGCGCCTCGTCTTTAGATATAGGTGGCTAAGGGGTGAATGATAAGAACGACATTATAGACCAGTGGCTCTCAACCTTTTTTGCTCAATGCACCCTTTTCACCATATGTCAGGGTGTAATTCCCCACTTTTCCTAGATTTTCCGTCTCAAAATTTACATTCCAAATAATATTCGAATTTTGAATATGGACGTCAATTCTCACCAGTGGAACAGGAAGGGAATTAGGGTGGTTTGCTACAATGTGCATGTCATGATAAGTCTTAGTCATGAAGGTTAAAACTGGTAGATCTAAGGTATATATTTCGTCTGAACACTTTTCAAGGAAATTATGATAGAGTAGCAAGAATCTTGCAGTGTTTCATCTGTGGAAAAGAGGTTGTAGGGTGGAAAATAATTCATCACCCACAAGGCAGTGTAGGCACTTTTTGACTGGTAAGTGAAGACGGGGCAGCTTCTACCAATGATGTATTATTGTAAAAATGTTTCTTTTCAGTAATTTAACAAAATAAACCTATAAGCTTTTGGAAATTTTTGCAAGACTATTCTTGAATTTTTTATGATTACATATATATAATCAAACTAAAGGTTCTGTTTTAATTTTTTTATTATTATTGGAAAGGTAATAATTTGTTATTAGGAAAAGAAATCGTATCTGTTTTAAAAGTTAGAGTCTAGCAATCGTTCTCAACTTTTTTTTGCCCAATGCACCCTTTTCAGCATAAATCAGAATGTCATTCCTCACTTTTCCAAGATTGTCTGATTCAAAAATTGCATCCAAATAATATTCATATAATATTGAAAATCTTCATTCCTTTCCAATATACATTTACATCACTCTTCCTCCTCTTTCTCTCTCTACCTCCTCCTCTCTCTCTTCCTCCTCTTTCTCAGTTCCTCCTCTCTCATCCCATCCACCTCTCTCTCTCTCTCTCTCTCTCTCTCTCTCTCTCTCTCTCTATATATATATATATATATATATATATATATATATATATATAGACCAGTGGTTCTCAACCTTTTTGCCCGATGCACCTTTGTCAGGGTGTCATTCCCCACCTTTCCAACACTGTCTTTCCCCTCCCTCTCTCTTCTCCTCCTCCCCTCTCTCTTCCTTCTCGCATCTCGTCCTCCCCTCTCTCTCTCTCTCTCTATATATATATATATATATATATATATAGACCAGTAGTTCTCAACCTTTTTCTGCCCAATGCACTTTTTCATCATATGTCAGGGTGTCATTCGCCAACATTATCCGAGTGAAAATGTACATTGCAGATAATATTCATATATTATTGCAAACCTTCATTTTTTTCATATTAGTTCATATAAATTTACATTGGTTATATTTATATTGGTGTTTTACAAATTTAATAGCAATAGAAAATGTTGAGGGATTTTTAAACTTGAATACATGTACATTAATTTGTTTTAATTCATAAGTAATTATTAAATAAATAAACTGAAGCAGACTTCAACAAGGAAAAAGTTCAATAGAATGCCAGGGGATTGGAATTCAATAAGCAAAATTCTGTAAGTAAAAAAAAAAAAAAAACAGAAAAAGCAAGATGTTTCCTTCACTCTCCGAAACCCTGAAATCTCCCCCTCCCCGGTTGAAAACCCCTGAACGATCAAAGAGAAGCATTTTTTTTTTATAAAACTGCCTCGGCATTAGGAATATCGGATTAATTTATTAACGCTATACGGCTCGATAGAGAGGCGGTTTAGAAACATGAGGCAAGGAAAACTTAATGAAATTATTAATCAAATCACGAACGGAATTAAAAATAAAAAGGTTAAATTTAAACGTTAAATTCAAAAGATTCCAAAGTTTCAATAAATCATACTTATTATAAAACCCAGGTTGTGTGTGTGTGTGTCTGTACGTTTATTTATTGGATCGGATTTCCGACATTTTTCAACCGATTTCAACAAAACTTCACTTTTTTTTTGGCAGGTAGTGTTTCTTAATTGTCTTGCACACTTTTTTCTTTATTTTTACATTCAGAATGCTTTAGAAATTCTATTTACAAGACAATTGTTTATAATAAAATTCAATTAAATCGGTAGACTCATAACGATTGAAAACAAGGTTTTTGTTTGATTTTGGGTTTGACCAATTCGTAAAAAAAAACAAAAAGCAAAAAAAACTAATTAAGACATGTGTCTCCGTCAACCTTAAACAATAATCTTTGTCAATTTTATTTTTCAGTCTTTTATGATGGTCGATACTTGATCTATTTCTTACTGTTACATCCCCGGGCAACGCCGGGCTCTACTGCTAGTTATTAATAATTTATTTGAAATTTATGATTTTCTAAATACTGCGTGAAACCCATGGAGACAAAACAACACATACATACACTTATTCTATGTGCTGATTACCATCAAGACTCGTCACAAATTCCTCTACTTTGTACCTGTTAATAAATTTAATCTTTTTACTATATCTCCTATAACTTGTTTCGCTATCTATTTATTTAAGTTCGCTAACCGTGCGTTGTTTTCCTCTGTTCCTCTTGCCTTCAATCTGTCCTGTGAGTATCTGATTTTCCAAGCCGTCTTTCCTCATTATGTGTCCTAGAAATTTCAACTATTTCTTTCCGGCATTAAGTAGAAGTTTCGTTTTTGTTTCTATTTTATCTAAAACTTCATCATTGCTCACATGTACAGCCCATGGTATTCTCAGCAGCCTTCTGTAGAACCAAATTTTGTTGCTTAAAGTCTTTGGGGGTAGTGTGAGGGTAGTCAAGATACATCGAAATCTTTTATGTGCTGTGTCCCTTTAGGAGGTAGTCGATCATGGCTCTCCATAATTTCCTCTCCTTTATAGCTCTTAATAAATTTTCTTTTTGTTATCAATTCTGAACCCCGTCCGTCATTCATTTCCACAAGCTCATTCTCCTATGTGTCGTGTCTCCTCAGGACGTTGACGATCATGACTCTCCACAGTGTCCTGATCTTTGTAGCTATTAATAAAATTTGTCTTTTTGCTATCTCTATCTATAACAGGCAGGATGTGCTCCAAGTTAGCGGAAAAGCCAAGACCGACTTTGCATTTCCCAACTCCCATCGATAGTGGAAATAATTGATTTTTTCATGCTTCTACGGCAGTTTTCATGTAGTTTGCGGCCATTTTGTACTGGCCAGAGTGAGAGCCAATAGTTGGCTGCCACGAACAGGCAGGACGATTCTATTGGCCAGCGTAGTTTATTGTCTTACCCTGGACGGAAAGTACACTTTATTAAGAGTTTGAAGAGAAATTGATAAGTTGCGTAACTTTGTAAGCAACTGCCAGTAGCCAGAAATGATCAAATTGCATAGAAAGAAAAGTAAAGTACTATTCATATTTGCAAAATCCACATAGCCTAATCGTTAATTTGACGGATAAAAAAGTTTTGAATTTCTCACTTCAATCTTTTTTTTTCAACTTCATTTATAATGAAATATTTGAATGAGATCAAAAAATAACTTAGCTCGATATTTTCAAACAGATATTTGCTTCGTTCTTTTAAATCTGATCGATTATTTGTCGGTAGGTTTAAAAAAAAAGCCGAAAAAATAGCAAGCAATAAATCTGATGGCTGTAAAAATTGATCCCATTGGGAAAATCATTGTTGAGCGAAAATTGAAATCGTTTATGAGTCATGTCGTTCAATGAATAGAAAAAGGTCAATTCTCATATTTGTAGGTTCTCTCCTCTTGCACCAACACACTCACACATCTATCTATCTATCTATCTATCTATCTATCTATCTATCTATCTATCTATCTATTTCAAACTGTTCATAGATATCACATCACACGATATCTATCTATCTATCTATCTATCTATCTATCTATCTATCTATTTCAAACTGTTCATATATAATATATCACATCACACGATATCTATCTATCATATCTATCTACTGTCTGTCTGACTTTCTGTTATTTTCAGTCTTTTCATATATCATATATATGTATGTATGTATGTATGTATGTATGTATCTATCTATCTATATATATATATATATATATTTCAGTCTGTTCATCTATCTATCTAATTCAGTCTGTTCATCTATCTATCTATCTATCTATCTATCTATCTATCTATCTATCTATCCCAGTTTCTTCAATATCTATCTATCTATCTATCTATCTATCTATCTATTTATCTATCTATCTATCTATCTATCTCAGTCTGTTCATTTATCTATCTATCTATCTATCTATCTATCTATCTATCTATCTTTCTATCTATCTCAGTCTGTTCATCTATCTATCTATCTATCTATCTATCTATCTCAGTCTGTTCATCTATCTATCTATCTATCTATCTCATTCTGTTCATCTATCTATCTATCTATCTATCTATCTATCTATCTATCTATCTATCTATCTATCTATCTATCTATCTCAGTCTGTTCATCTATCTATCTATCTATCTATCTATCTATCTATCTATCTATTTCAATCTGTTCATATGTCATATCGTATCATATCATGTCATGTCATGTTATCTATCTTAGTCTTTTCATCTATCATATATCTATCTATCTACTGTCTTACTATTTTTATATATCATATCATCATATCTCTCTCTCTCTGTATATATATATATATATATATATATATATATATATATATAACGAACAATAGAATTACTTATGATACAGTGTTAGATGATAGGTTTACATAATTATATTTAAGCTTCACTCTCACACGCTTGAACACGCCGAAATCTTATCAAGTGAATGAACATTATATAAGCCTATGAATATATCACATTGAAACAGCTGTTTTCGTACGATCACCGAAGTTGAGAAAGATTTTTCTTTAAATCATTTCACCCCAAGCAAGGCAATAAAGCCATTATGACGCAAGTAAAAACTGAGTGTTAGAGAATATGCGAAAAACTACTATTAATGAAAGAGGACCATAAAAGAACAAGAATTAAGAAGACAGAAGATAACGATTGGAATTGCATTTAAATTTTTGAAGATCAAAGTTCATTGGGATGCCGGAACACAGTTCCACAAACGAGCAGAATGAGAGAAGAAACTATTAGCATAAAACTTGCGGTTGCCCATCATTTGTAAATATACAAGTTTATATAAACGTGACAGAAACAAATTATAATTAAGAGTGACATTCAACCGGAGTATCTATAGAAAATATGCTTTCAGTTTTAGAAAGACGTATTTGATCTCTCAAAATTTCCCCAAAATTAAATATTGGACAATCTTGGATCAATACAGAATATCATCCTTCTCTTATCTCTATGCCGTGATTTGGTAATCCGACATTATCCCCACTGTATCTGGAATTACCATTATTTATGTTTGCGACATTATCTTCTTAATCTCCGTTCTCTATTTCTTATTTTTTTCCTTCAAATCAGGATATATTATTAGCAAAACACCGTACGTCATGGATATGCCATGTCAGCCCACGAGAAATGTTTTTGCACACAATGCTTGAATCCTCTTGAATACACTCAATTTTATTCCAGTTTTTATCACCTTAGTAAAAATGACAGCTGTTATCTTCTTTTATTTGAATCTGACATCAAGCGGGATCTCCACAATTTTTTCTAAATACGAGACTTAAAAAAGAAGCAAAAGTCCAAACTCTCGTCTACTTAATTCATTCTTTGCAAAATGAAAATAACGAATTGCGAATTGTAAACGTAAAGATTAATTTAATGCATTCAACATCAGCATTTAACAATTAACCAACTGACGACCATTCACCAAACATTGGCAGGTGACAGACATTTTCTGTTTGGTTATAAGAATACCATTTAATAACATGCTTTTCAAAAGTTTTTGTAATAAGCCTTATAATTATCTGAAGAGAACTATCGCTTGTAGATTTAAAATATTAGATAGCAAGAAAAATATTTCGTTTGTTAGTTAAAAAATAAACAAACATTTTTTTTATTTTCGATATTATTAAACAACAGATCTTCTACCTTTTTCATCCTATTTCTCCAGATTTTTTTTAATCTTTGTAAGTAAAGAACTGCTTTAGGTGCCTTTTGCAGTCTTTCGGGGAAAAGAAATTATTTTCATTATGGGAATGCGTTAAAGACTAGATAATTATGTGCAGACGAAATCTCTGGTGAATATGAGGAATAAATTAAAAGTTCCCTTAAAACGGGAACAATTGTGTCTTGTCATAAAAAAATGTCAACAAAAAAAAAAAAAAAAAAAAAAAAAGAAGAGCCAAATGTTTCTCTAGGGATACTAGAGAAACATTTGGCTGCTTCTTATTGCTACAATTGCGAAACAATTTTCGGCTTAAGGCCATATCACGTTGAAACAACGCTTCTCGTAAGATCATCACCAAAGTTAATGATAGTCGAGACTGAGCAGCAGCTGGATGGGTGACCGTTTGGTAATACCACGTCCAATAAGCGTGGATGTGCAGGTGGTGTAATCTATAACAAATCGGAAATCTTCATCGGAGAGCCGAGTTCTAATTCTAGTAAGGTTCATTATATTCACTTACACGTAAATATTATTGGGAAAGATATCAATCCACCTCACCCCCCTCCAGCTATAGATTAATTAGAAGGATTTGTATGGTCAATAAATCATTATTATCTAGAAAATTCTTACAATCTAAAAATATTTTCTGGATTTAAATAACCCGCAAAAAGTTGATAAGCCGTAAAAATCAGTCAGAAATAATTTTCGCCGATCGTTGTTACTAACTGCTTTTGGTCTAACCGAGATGAGTAGTGTCTTGTGTCGCTACTGAAAATAAACAGCTCAGTTCAATATCTTTCACTGCATCAAAAACGAAAAACTAATGCAGTTCAGTCATCGCCGAGCGGACTCTGAATTTTCACTTATCTGGTTGAACGGGTGTTCTATTGGGACAACCTAAACCAAACCTCATTAAACTCATATCTCTATCTATAAAAGGCAGGATGTGTGTGTGTGTGTGTGTGTGTGTAGCGAATGCACGGCCGCAATTATCGACGGATTTGCACCAAAATTTACATGCACATGCTCCAAGTTAGTGGAAAGGCCAAGACCGACTTTGCATTTCCCAACTCCTATCGATAGTGGAAATAATTCTACGGCAGTTTTCATGTAGTTTGCGGCCATTTTCTACTGGCCAGAGTGAGAGCCGATAGATGGCTGCCACGAATAGGCAGGAAGATTCTACTGGCCAGCGTGAGAGCCAACAGCTGACTGACACGAATGTTTACTAGCATGCAAAAAAATCGATAGCTGCATTCGTCACAAGTGGGAAAAATTTAAATCTGCATGGCACTTTACTCCAATTGTCTCATTTGCTTGCTTAAACTCAACGTTGATTCTGATTCTGCAGAACTGGGTTGGGTGTGAAAAAGTATTTGTTGTTAACATTCTTTTTTCATTCAGTTTTTCTAGTTCCGAGTCCTTTTTTTTTAAAGCTGATCGTTTTGTGTTCATTTTGTTTAGTTCTTTTTTCGTAACGGATTTACTGTTTAGTATAAAGCTTAGAAAAAATTCACAGTGTGAGATAGGCAAAAAGTAAGGCATGTAGCAACATCAGCAACATCAGCATGGCAAAGGGCACTCCTTTAAAGTCAAGGAAGGGGAAAAATATTTTAAATCAAGTGATAGCGATTGCTGTATGAGTCGTACGATTTTTGAATCAAGCACGGGCAACGCCTGGCCATGCTGCTAGTGTAGCCATAAAATCTATGCTAGCAGTTTCTTTTCTCACACTTGCTCTATGATTTCCATCCAAATTTAATGAAGTGTAATGTCAATCGCTATCTGCTGTCCACCTGATTATTCTCTTTCTTTCTCTCCCTCTCTCTCTTCCTGCTCATCATTAATGTTCTGTTCCCAGTTCTTCCACACCCAGTAACCCCTTATGTCTTAGTGGCTTTACTGCCTTGCATCTGATTAAAAAAAGATAAACAGACAGACAGAAAGATTGATAGATAGATAGATAGCTAATAATGACATAGATTTCTCTTTCCTCTTCCCGCACATCGCTAAACATGCTGGAAAAATGGTTGGTCCCTTGTACCGACCCAGTAAGTACCTGACTCCTCCTGATATCCACTACCTTTACAAGAGCCATATCAGGCTGAAAATAAAGTAAGTCAGTTATGTGTCATGCGTGATACACGCGTAAGCGATCATGTATCTTTCGATACATGACTGATGAGGCAGATTTTTTCCTGCAGTAGGTTGCCATTTCTTTCTGCGTTAGACCAGCTACCATCGAAAGCTATAGAATCCGGTCTGTCCTGCTATTAGCAGTGGGGAGAAGAGGAGGATTCATACCTTTTCCAAGGGTATTTAGCACATAAGTGAATGTAATGGATTCGACTGTAATTCGAACTCGGCTCTTCGATTCTTCAGTCCGAGCCGCTATCCATTACTCCATAAATGTAATAGTACTGTTGCCATATATGCCCAGTCTTCACTTTTCAGTCTCGATAGAGTCGAACAGTGTCTCCGCGTCCCTGTGGGTAATGTATTATTTCTCGCCTTACAACCTCTTTCCTACAGACGAGACGTTGCTCTGTCTCTGTTTCTAAGGAGAAGCGTTCAGAGGAACTACGTTTTTTTAGTCCCACCAATTCTAACCTACACGGTTAAGACCCCACACCTGACACGCCAAATTGTAGTGAACCCCCCTCATTCCTTTCGTCCTCCATTGGTGAAATGTAAGTTCCACTCGATCAGCCACTTCTCACGAAGCGCTACCTTGTATATTTCCGGATCACTATAATCTTAACCTGTTCACTTCTATGGGTTTACCATTATCTTATCCACATGTCTCCATAAATTGTGCCTCTTACTTTGTAATCCTCGGTGAGGTAATGGATAGCGGCTTGAATTGAGGATATATACCTATCTTATATAGGCAGGCTCGGGTTGAGGAATCGGAAAACCGAGTTGGAATTCAAATCGAATCCATTGCATTCACTTACGTGCTAATAATACCCTTGAGAAAGGTATGAATTTTCTTCTCTCCCCAGCTATGGGTAAATAGCAGGAAAGACCGGGTTCTATAACCTTAGATGGCAACTGGTTTACCGCAGAAAGAAATGGCAGCCGACTGTTGTTAAACAAAATCTCTTTCGTCAGTCATGTATCGAAAGGTACATGATCGCCTAAGCGTGTATCACGCATGGCACATAAATGACTGATACCTTGAGTAGGTCTTAGACAGGGTTAACATTATTGAAAAAAAAGCATAAAACAAAATAGGTTTTGAGAAAGCAACAAGCAATTTTTCTTTTTGCTGTGAGTTCTTAGAACCGACCATCAAAGCATTTAATTTCGCCTACACACGACCGTTTCTGCACAAGATTGCTGTCAACTGCCCAGTTATCTAACGTCAACTATCTTTAAAAATTGCACCGTTTAGCTACTAGAGAATTGCCCACAGAAATACGGTACTATTGCATATTTTCGTTTAATATATGTGGAATCTATACATCAAGTCCACTAACATAGTGAAGTTGGTGAAAATAATTACAGATTAAATTGGAATTATTATATTTTCT